TATAATTTCTATAATTTTTTAATATACAAATTACAAGATAAAATGGATTAAAGAAGTGCATTGAATGGTGTGCCAAAAGGTAAGTGGACAAAGACAGTGGGACGGAGGAAGTAACAAATAAGATACTCTCTTCACCTCTTAATAAATTTCATATTTGTTTATGATATGTTTAAATGAAGTTAGCTTTGATTTTATTATTTGAATATTGATTTAAAATTTCAACATGAAAATATTTTAAACACTATAATAAAATTCAACTCGCTCTGTCTCAAAATACATTACCTCTTTATTATTGCAGCGTCTCGATAACTTTTGTTCGTTTGCATGTTTTCAATGATCATTTGATAAAATAAAACATTTTTGTCACCTCTCACCTCTTATTTTATATAACTTTTGATATAGTTTTTAAATATGTAAATTTTTATTATTTTATATACCAATTTATAAATAATATCATTTTAAAATTCACGAGATTTTCTGCGTTGTTCGAATAGGAAATATACTTTGGAACAGAGGAAGTATAAAATAAGGGATTATTGAACTATAAAAGTGTTAAATAGAGAAAACAATACTCCGTACTATATATAATTTGATCATTTGATCGAGTATATTAAGTTTATGGTATGATTTAACTACTAGATAATTTAGGATTTATAATTCTTAAATGACTTATAATTTAATTTTAAAAATACATTATTTTTAACTATTTATCATTATATGATAATTTTAATTATATTATAGAATACAATTGAGAAATAAATGTGTCACCGTGACTTCTTATGTTTACACAAGCATTCCTTACTATTTCACCATCATTGACAAATTTTAAATATGGAATAGAGATCTTCTTTTTTTGTAGATTATTCTTTCTTAATATTATATTTTTTTCACTTCATTTACAAGATAAATTGAATGAGAGAGGACTCACTTCATTCTTACATCTTCATTTGCATAATTGTACATAGAAACAATATAATTGGTGTTCTATGAGACGGAGAGAGATGACACAGATGTATGCAAAAAAGATTGTGACAATGAAGATCTAAGTGTAAAGAAAATCAATAAAGTAATAAAAAGTGCGGAGAAGATCCAAGGTGCAAAAACGAATAAGATCAAAACTTGGATACAAGCACATCAAAGAGAAATATAATTTCCAATTTGCAACTATTTATATTTTTTAAAACATTTTGTATTGATTAGAATACTATTATGAGTTTAAATGATTTGCATTTTAAAGCAAAAAGTAATAAAAAGAATAAAAAACTGTCATTTTTTTGTTTGTAAATTTCCCTTGATAAATCAACCAAAAATCAAAGTAAAAAATATTACAAAAATAAGAATCACATGTTTTTATCTACAAAATGGTACTATTGCAATATAATGTGATACTGGGACACTGTACATTGAGATTTCATTGTAATTTTTGTATTATATGTTGGTCTTATTGACATTATAGTTCTTATTTTGTAGATAAAAACATAAAGATTCTACTTTGATTGATTTCTTATATTTTAATTCTATTTTAATATTTCTATTTTTTCCCTTCTGAATCATTGTAGAATTACTTTTATCTATTAATATTGTTTTTCAAAATTGATGCAGGGGAGAAGAATTGTTGTATTTTAATTTTTTTCAAATTAATATTTTTAATAATAGAGTCATAGGATCGCTAATCCAAGATTTTATTTTTAAATAATGTTGTAGAGATGAATCAATTTTTGTATTCAATGTGGGGTTGGGGGGAATCATTTTTTTCCTAATCTCAATTAATATGGGGGGAAATCATATTTTTTTAATCATAGAATAATAAGATCCGTAATTCAAGTTTTTTTAAAATTTATGCAAGGAAAAATATTCATAGAATCACTAATGTTTTTTGTATTTTTTTTTAATTTATACAAAAAGAAAAATTATAGGTTTGTATAAATTTAATAAACTTAAACCATTTATACTTGACGTTTAAATGATATGTCTCTTAAAAAAACTAAATCATTTTAATACTCCACATTGTAGAATCACAAACAATTTCGTATTGCCCCGTGCACGACACGGGTTAAAATGCTAGTAACTAAATTAGGAGAAAGACATAAAAAATATCAAAATAAAAGTTCCATGTTTGTTATCTCCAAAATAAGAGTTACAATGTCAATAATGTCAATATATAGTATCAAAAAATACAGTGCTGCCAGTATACATTGTCATATTGTCATACTGGAAACTCTTATTTTAGAGATAAAAATATGAAATTCTTAATTTGAGGATAAATGCTAGTGAATATGTGCACTCATATTTGGGGTGATTCCTTTTGCAACTTACAAAAATGTAGTGAGTTATGGAGTAAACAAATTAGTTCCATTTTGTATAATAAATTAATGTACAATTTTACAACTTTTGTAATATTTTCTTAGTAATTGTTCTGAGATTATCGATTGTCGAAAAACAACTAGTGTCACTCAAGATCATACTAATAGTGGAAAAATCATACTAAGGGTCGGTTTGGTATTAGGAATTGGTGGAATTGGAATTGTAATTTCATAGAATTGAATTCTGTCATTTTCAATTCATTTTTTACACTATCAATTCCAAATCTACATAATTTTTGTGCTACCAAACCCTAGAATTTGAATTTAAGTCCCCAATTCCAATTCCATAGTTTGAATTCCATGTACCAAACGGGGCAAATAGTCCAAATTATCAATTTTACATGAATGCTCCCAACTAATAAAACCAACGCCAATACTCGAAATTTTATTGAGAAATTAACTTAAATAGCACTAAAACATAATGACTTTTCCCAAATAGCACCACTTTTAGTCATTATGTATTAGTCATTATTCAAGCAAATATTTGTCATTACAGGACATTATGGACATTATTAAGTGATATTTAGGGAATAAAACAATTTAAGTACTTTTTAGGGAAATGACTTAAGTTTTAGTGTTATTTAGTGCAAATATTTCAATTTTATTTTTATTTTGAATCATGCAGCACAGAAGATCTTAAGAGAGTTAGAACTCCACCCCATGATTTCATACCTAGCTCTTTTATTTTGTAAAGGAAAGTTCACACAAAGATTCTAGCAAATTTGCGATTTTATATTAATACTTTGAATTTGAATAATTGACACTACTGGGACTCTATAGTGGGCATATGTGTAAGTTTGAACACACTTCAAAGTATTCGATTGTGGTTTATAATCTTTGATTAAAATTATTTTCGACTCAATACTTTTTTACAAATTGGTGTTGAATAAAATAGACTTTTTTATGTATATAAAACTACATAAAACAAAATAAAGGGTGACGTGAGCCTTCTTTGGAAACATCTTTTTAAATTAACGCTAGTCGCTAGCGTTTTGAATATTTTTTTAATGGTGCAAATTAACTTTGAAAATTTTGAAGTTAAATATTTCCTTAAATAACCTTTTTCAAATACTCTACTAAACAATCGTCAAATGTATTATTATTTTATCAAATAATCAATTTAAATACGGTATGAAAAATAGGGAAAATTATCTGAAATAATATGATTTTTTCGTGCTTTTCTAAAAATAATCCCACTTTTTACTGTCATGGAAAATAATCTCAACTTCCGCATGCGTGCGAGTTTTGGGTCGCCATTGGGAAGCTAATAGTCACTTAACTGATCTTTTAGAAAATGTCTATTTTTTACAAATAAATGAAAGGTGAAATTATTTTAGACAAATTACTACTACAAAAAAAATCAAATCGATTACTCCATTTGCATCGGTTTCACTGAAAATTGATGCAAATGGGGTGGAGGATTTCACAAACTAGTTCTCTTTTGCATTGGTTATTAGTTATAAACTTATAACCGATGCAAGAGCCTTTTATACCGGTCTTAGTTTTAAATTTTAAATTTATGTTAATAAAAATATAAGAGTACACTCGTGTTAGAAATTTGTTTCACTTTTTAAAAAATATAATGATTCACAAATTTTGTATTTCTATTTTGTGGAAAATATAATAGTGGATTACCAGAAAATAAATCGGAGCATCGTTCGAGAAAGAAAGTACAATATAAAAAAATTGTCGTAGTGAGTTATAAAAATAGTTAGTGCCGTTTTGGAGAAAAAATTGTTGTCCCATTTTCACAACTTTTGAATTGTTATTTTGGAGAACAAATTTGTACTGAATTATTGAAAACAATTCACAAGTTTTGTAGTGCCATGTTGGAAAAAATAATACGAGTATTAGTTGATTATCGAAAAATTTCAGAGTATTGCTAATGAAAAAAAATTGCAATGCAAAAAATGTAGTGAGTTATATAAGTAATAGTTGCATGTCGGAGAAAAAAATATTGTACCATTTTCACCACTTTTGTAATGTTATTTTTCAAAAAACATTTGTGCGAAAAGAAGCTATTTCATAAACTAAAAAAGTCTAAATAAAAACACACTTAAGAATAAAAATCAAGTTTAATAGGAAATAAAAACTATAATTAATTACCTTCCTTGCTATTTTATCTTTATTGTATTGTTACCATAAATTTTGTTAATCTAGGATTAGAATTCACTCTTAATTATAATCCCTATTGTTGGGCCGTGTTCCTTGGACCACACGGCAAGAAGGAAAGCAAATCCCATTCTAAGTGGGATTGCTCTTGATTTGTTTCCTAGTTCATATTTAGTGATTTGTTTCCATGTAGGAGTAGAATTCCTTTTGTGTTTTGGTCTTTTTCCTCTCCTATAAATAAAGGAGAAACCCCTTGTAATTAGTAGAACAATTCAATATACAAACTATTTTCTCTCTTATTAATTTCTACATGGTATCAAAGCAAGATTCCTAGGGAAAACCCTAATCTAGACAAACGACGGTCCATCACTGTCCTCCGCCGGTTCAAGCCTGTCTTCCGCCGGATCACCGACCTCGACCGCCGAACTATCCTCCTCGACCGTCGACATGGCAGAAGTAGAAGAAAATCTCGTCGGCAAGCTCTTCGATGAGGAAGAGAAGATCCCTACGAAGGGAAATTCTTACGAACTCAAGAACGCAGACACACCTGGATTAATTATCACCCAAGTCAAACTAAACGGTGATAATTATGAAGAATGGGCTCGTGCAATGAGAATTGCATTCCGTGCAAAACGGAAAATTGGATTCATCGACGGATCCATCCCTTGTCCAGAAGAGGGAGATGAAAACTATGAAGAATGG